ATTATATCCTGTACAACGCGCTAGTTGAACCCCATATTAGATATGGAATATTAGTCTGGGGAGGAGTGACTAACAATTATCTAAAAAGGTTGGAAACATTGTCGATCTAAATGAAAACCTAGTAGGCGACCTAGTACGCGAGGAGGTACAATATTGTCTGTTCTTTGAATCAAAATCTGTCTGCCTGTCAAGTGGCGCTGGCATCCTGAAAATGGAAAAAGCTCATTTGTTTATGTCAAAATAGACCATATTAGGTTGATATTGTCTTCTTCTATTTTTTTCCAATATGTTAATCAACCACAGATGTGCTTTCCATCATTGACGTGATATTCGATACAAAGGCGATGAAGAAGATTCTTTCATGAGATTGAGATGTCATAATCAAAAAATTATTTTCTGACAGTTGTCATTAACTTATAATTTCGTCTTTGTGAATATGTTGAACTTTGAATTCGTATTCTTGAAAATTACAATTATTCCTAATTGTTTCTTCTAGTATTAGTTTTCTATTGCAGTTTGTTGATTGGTTTGTGAGTGCGATTGTGTTATTTTGCAATGTTATCTGAAAACTTCGCACTCCAGGAGGTGGAGGTGTAAAATTATCAAGACCTGGTTTCTCCTATCCCCACTGTTGTGAATTTTTGCCTCAAATCCTGAGGCATCAATGAGTTTATGCCATATTCATTGGATTGCAAGGTGAATTTTTTTTCTTAAATCGTATAATATTTGAAACTTGATGCATTGATATTTCAGGAATGGGAGTTTTTGAAGTGAGCGAACATGATACTGTATGTTTCCAACATTTTAAGGGAACTGTTTCTTGCCAATGAAGAATTGGAAACGGTTTTGGAAGGAGGGTTCGGTTCCAAGTTTGTTTAAGGAAGGTATATATAAATAAAATGATATTTAACAAGTTCCTACCTATACAAACTTTTTGTAGCAATCAGCTTATTAGTTTCTAGTTGACTAGAACTATAAGTTTCAGTATAAAAATTACCAAGAACTTGACTTTGGTACCTCTAAAAATTGTTCCAGTCAATTGTCACAGAACATTGAAACTGGGGACAAAATAGATATCAAATATTTTTATAGTTTCAGACTCATCAATGTAGTTTGGAATATGATGCTGAAGAGAAACTCCTTCCTTAAGGAACACGACCTGAAGATGAGGAAGCATCTTAAGAGGAAACGGGCATTTGAACAGATATTATAGAATGATAATGAATAATAATAATGTTTATTCAAAATTTTGACAATATAAATTAAAAAGTTATACATATTGGTATTGAATATTCCTATGGTTTAATTTGTGGCAATTATAGACACATCTTCTCATATTCAGTGAAGTTAGTGGCTTCAATAAGATGATTGTATAAAAAATAATCATTGTTCAGCAAAACATATATTTAACCTAAATACTTACCTTTGGTACAATATATAATGTTTTCAAACTTACCTGTCAATAAATCTGTACAACAATAAACAGGGTATCAGAGGAGAACAAATTAGTAGAATAAAAATTGCAATAATTCTTCATAATTATATTCAATTTATTAAAAAAATATAATTGTATTGTCATTCCTACATATAAAAGTTATTTTCCAATAAAAAAAAATTCTAAATATCCCAGCATCTTGATATTTTGAGTTTGGAGCAGAATATCCATAAAACATTGATGAAATAAACAGATTGAGTTTAACCTTATTGCTTCTATATATTCATTTCAGATGGGAAATTTTCCATTCTGTTCTCAAACATGCATCATCCTTCTGGTACATTTCTTCTAAACATTACTCACATAATAATTCCTCATGCGATTCTTCCACAACAATCTGTTTGTATCACTCATAGTTTTTCGTTTTTCAACTGAAAAGCTATTCATGTAGGTACTCTTCGCTGTAGGTAGGTACCTGAAATTTTCAAGTATAGTGAATCCGATGTGTACATAGTTTACATAACTAAAGACATGTTTTCACTGCAAATAACGGAATTTCATGAATTATATAGTAACTTATCAAAAATATAGAAGGAAATAAGCAGCCCCTACCTTTCTGCTTGGCTTGCATGTCGAAAAAGTGTGAAACCACTGATGAGTTTCCGAAGTTTCCACAGTTCCAACTTAAATTCAAGTTGCATCATAAGTCAACCTAATACAGCATTGCCTAAACATCTCCCTGCTTCCATTCAAGTATAGGTAGATGGTTTTCATACTTGATAATATCTTTCATGATAATGTTTCATTTTTGGGTTTCAACATGACAGATTTTTATTTACAAACTTGACAGGACCATGAAAAATGTTTGGGTTAGGAATAAAAAAGGAATAACTTAGTTTACTTGGTTCACATTGATGTCTCTGTACTACTGAACGCCTTCATTTATTTTTTCAAAGAACAGACAATATTATGCTCTCGCCTACTAACTACCTAACTAGGTTTCCATTTAGATCGACAATGGTTGGAAATAACGCAGACTTGGATTTTAAAAATAATATACAATAAAAACTACACTCATCCAACTGATGCGCTGTACAGGGAAAGCAAAGTGCTTGATTCACGTCAATTATTTTTTCAATGCATAGTGTTGCATCATTACAAAAATAAAACAACATTTAAGCAAATAGAGCATAAATATGATACCAGATACAAAGCTAAAAATACTGTAATACCAAAAGCTGACAAAACCTTGATGCAAAGATGCTATGTTTATCTTAGTCCTATCTTGTATGCTGAACTGCTATGCTGAAATAACACACATTTGCACAGTCTCAACAACATGTTCAGAAAAAAATCAAAGTATTACTTCAAAGTAAATCCAGAATGGAAATTCATAAAATGATTGACAGAAAAAATTCTTATTATTTCTGAATATTTTATCTTGTGGTTCTGACAGGACAAAACATAATTTCAAAAACAAAAAATAAACGGTAATTCTTATTCAAGATTGAATAAAAACTAAGCAGATAACCCTGATGAGAATCCATCATCATCTCATATCATAATTCTCTTCATTCCATTAATATAATGATTATATTAGGATTAATTTCAATGATTTAATAGCTCTTAGGCTTGTTTCATCCACGCACAGGGATTCATCCCTTTGTGGATTACTTATATACTTACCGGAATTTCTGCCTACATCTATAATATACCTATGAAGATATGTTTGTGAATATACAGTATGATGCAAATGTATGGAATAAATTCATTATTTCAGAAATGGGCGATATTTTAAAAAATTCCAAGAACACGTGAGGTTCCATTTTTGAAGCCTCATCTCATGATATCCATATGAGAGATGTTACGTCACCGGTGTTGGAGAAATGGCGTAATGAACGATTTTTTTAAATGAAAACAGGGGTCATGTGACACCTTGTTTGAAAGGTCTACTGATCGTCTATTCAACAGTCAACATTTTGCATAAGAAAATTGAAATTAAAATGGCTTATCATTTGATTAACTGAATCTTGCAGAGGTCTGATACTGAGAATTGAACAACGGGTCGTCTATTTAAAAAAATAAATCAATTAATAAAGTTCTGAAGTCTAGTTTTTGGATTTTTTCGGAAGTCGTCTTGTTTTGAAATGAATTTATTCCATACATTTGCATCTACTGTATGTATGGTACACCATTCAACAATTCGAGGTAATATATATTATTCACAATACAGGGTTGGGCATATGTGTGGAATCACCTAATTTCTGACTAAACCAGATGTATTTTTTTTCTATCAAGACGTTTATGATGTTTTTCACAGTCGCCAATGTTGATTTTGATAGCTATCATATTGTTGTGAATGTGGCACAGTCAGCAGTTTTTTTAAATGGATCAATTCAATTCAAAATAGAGATTTTTCGAATTTAAAATCTTTTGTGTCGAATCTATTTATTTCTGGTCAAAACAGCTCACATGTTCCTATCTTGATTGTTGATTTATTATCTACTGACATTTAATTGGAACAGATACTGGGTGATCAGAATTCTGGATAGTAAATCAAAAGCTAAGATAGGGATGTGAGCCTTTTTGACCATTACTTTACACCTAAACAGCTTCTCATGATCTACAAAGCACAGATACGGTCAGTTTTAGAATACTGTACTCATGTATGGGGTTCAGCATTCACCTGGTGGGTGATATGTTACACTCACTAACTTATTGACCTCATTAGAACATCGTATGAAAGTCGGTGACCTTTCACTTTTCTATAGATACTTCCACGGGAAATGTTTCTCATCAATCTCTGCTATAATTCCATCACTAGCAATACTAAGCAGACACACTAGACAGGCCCAGTCAGCACATTCTTTCATCGTTAACCTTGAAATATGTCGAACAACACTCTACCAGAACGCGTTCCTCTATATATAGAACGGCGAATCTTTGGAATTCATTTTCAATCGAAGTACTCCCAAGAACTTATGATCTCCAAAAGTTCAAGAAACTTTCAACACTTACCTCCTCTCCCCATCCTCCCTAGGTACAGATGTTCCACGAACATTATAGGGATTTCCTTTCGTACGCTCCAAGAGATAAAAAAAAGAATAATTTCGACATAGTGAAGTTGAAAAAACTCGATTTTGAAAACAATATATCTATACACTATAATACATCACTGGTTCACCACTAACCAAGCCGATTATTTTACGACTCGACACGTGTTTCGCTAACTATGTTAACATCTCCAGGAGAAGATCAAAACTGCTTCAATCTTTTTTATATATCTATGTGACCATTTCCGCTAGACCCCAAGTCCAAGTGTGACACATAGATGAAATCAGCTCTTCAGCAAGAATCTGAAAGAGTGATCCATTAAAAAAAACACTGGTGACTGCGCCATAAGTTTTGATATAAAAAAGAATGCCTTTCGTTTTTAGTTAGAAATGAGGTGTTTCCACAAATATGTATATAGAACCTTGTATATGCCTAGCTCAGAAATGAGCTGAAATGCCAAAGTTCAAACCTACAAGCACAAGGAATTTCATCTGCGTGTAATTTTCATCAGATCTTGGAGTTCATTGGAGAAGGTTCGAAAAATGCATAACTTTGCCAGTAAACTGGGCCACCGAAAACTGGATTACAGAATCAACCAATTGGAAATGGCTCTCACCCAGTTTGGATTCATAGGATTTGCGCTAGTCAGAGGAAGATTCATCGGTATACATGAAGTATCAGAAGAAGAACTGAAGGGCTTCATACACTTGTGGAGGGCATTGGGATATGTCCTCGGAATAGAAGATAGGTCAGAGAGTTTGAAAAAAAACTTCACTAATTAATAAGAAATAGGGCAATACCACTACTGAAAATATCTAAGAAATCATTTATTCACCTAATTTCTGACTTAATAAGAAGTGATTCATCATTTTTTATCAGAAATTTTATAATTTCTCTATTCTACTCTGTCGCCAATATTGATTTTTGGTAGATATCGAAGTTTATTCTTGAGAATTAATTAAAATTCAAACAGCGTTCATTAAATATTAAAACCTACTTTGGTGTACTTTGTAGGGAATAAAACTTCCGTTCAAGATGTTTCGAACAGATTTGGCATAGAAAAAACACATTTTGCATAGACAATATCTCAGATAATCCGAATTTTTATCGAATCATCTTAACAGAGTGTTAAGCACTCAAAATTACCCTAACCTGACAACAAAACAATAACATTCGAATCTGAATAAGCGAATAAGTTTAGGTACTAGGTAGACACTCAATAATTGTTTTATTTGAAGTAGAAGTGTTACATTTAGTTTCGTGTTTGTAAGTTTTTATAACGTTTTTAGGTTCAACATATGCAGAGAATCGGTGAAGGAAACTAAAGAGATATGTGAAGTATTAATAAGAAGAGTATTTATTCCCGGATTGCAACAACCAGGTGACGATTTCTACAATGTTGCAAAGGTTGTTGTAGAAGGATTCCGGGCAATGATTCCTGGACTCCACCTGGACAATATTCTTCATTACATTCATATGATCATGGAGTCAAACGAGGATGTAGCCAATTGTGCCAAGGATCATTTGTCACCGCTGGACAAAATTGAACAATTGAAATTGAAAATTTTAGTCAACATCATATGGGCAATGCAATATCGTATTTTCAAGTTCCTCATGAACAATTTTGTTCTTTTGATCATTTGGTTATGGATAAACTTTCCTATTGTGGCATACTGGAAATTTGGTATAACTCAACATTCTCACGTGAGAATTTGAAAAGTGTGTTTTTTTTTACTGAAGCAGTACTGACACGGCAGTTAACAATTATTATTGTACATTGACAATTTTGTTTTATTTCGTATTCGTTGAGTGCCCCAGAGATGTGACTATAATCTCTGAATGCGCCTTTTGTAACGCCACAGAAGAGTTCTAGATAGGTAACTTATATCCAATCAAACACAAGAAATAACGTCATGGATGGACATCTAAAATGAATGAGTGGTTGAGAAATCCCCAACTCTTTATAGAAAATAATACAGATGGATATTGAGAGAATGTTTTTGCATAGTTTATTCAAGAGGTTGGTGGACTACTCAATATCCTCGAAGCTCTTTGTAGAATTCCTAATTTTTGTGCATTCAAATGTTCAATCCTTTGGTAAATTGGCCCTCTGCATTCACACAGGCACGTTTCGTTTGCTGAAATGTGAAATCTGTATCTATATCCTATCATATCATAACCGATTATGCCCCTTTATGATATGTCAGTAAAGGCAGATTGAAACATTGCCCTGGCCATATATTTATTGAAAATTTAAAATACTAGATGCTATTTCTAGCGCTTCCCAAGGACGAAGCCAACGCCAATATCTCACTTTATATCTCGCCAATTGGTATTAAATCGGTATGACAATATTTACCAATATTTTCGAGAAGAGAGAACATAGCAACATAATGATTTTCAATGATCCACCAATATAATACAACTAATATTGCACCAATATTGTCAAATGTTCAATTTTATTTCTCGCCAATATTGATTCTACATTTTGTGACCAATATAAGCAACCACTATTGGTGTGAAAATATTTCATCAATGTTTTCAAGACGGCATTGCAACAAGCTGATTTTCAATATTCCACCCACATTGTGAAACTAATATTGTACCAATATCGCCGAATGTTCAGATTTTGTTTCTCGCCAATATTTTCGTAATACTGCAACGATATTGTCCCAATATATGTGTGCTACTTGGGATACCTGATGAAACCTTACTGATACCTTTGGATAAAATTATTCTGTACCTTTATTGAAGTTCTTGCAGTGAATATAGGTATGCCTTACAAATTTTTCATTGAACCTCCTTATTGGTCCTTGGCGTCGAAGTTTGGAATGTGTAATTATAAAACAAAATTAAAAATGTTGCATGCCCGTGAATCGATATAAATAATGATCTCGATATGGATAATGAGCCATTTCCAATATCTGCATGATAAAATATTTAATATTTCGCCCAATTTGTTATTCCTATTGCAAGGTCGTACCAGCAGATGCCTGTCTCATTTTGGACTAAGAAATACATTGTAGCTTTTCGTAAGACCTTCAAATACACCTGTATACATGAAAATGTGAATGGCCAAATCCGGCACTGCATATAATCATTTAATTATCACACTACCAATGTCTCAAAATTGAATAATCAACCGTATTCTGATATTCTATTTTGCGAACCTGACATGCACATCAGATCATATTACAAAACCGCAAGTGAAACTATTCATCTAGATCAAATACTGATCAGATATATAAGTGGGAAAGTTGAGAAAAGCTGAAGGTTCACACAATGACGGAAAACTTCCATTGTCGTGAAATAAACAGAAAATGCACCGGTAAGTACACTCTATATTCCCCTCGATATTATAACAGACTATCTGAGAAGCTATGAGAAATTTGAAGAAATCAGAAGAATTGCTATATTTTATGGGGACGTCTCTTGGACTACCAAAGTCCATCATCAACCACCAATGGAAGTAAGTCATTGAAATGGAAAAAGGAACAGAATTTGAAATTCTTCCGATTTTCCTACGACCACTACTTTAACTCTTTCAAGTACTTTGGTGCAGAATTTGAACCACGAATTTCTTGGAGTTAGAAGTATGCTGGGACAAAATATATCCCGCTCTGCAATGGGCTTATGATTTGTGGTAAGACGGTTTATTTTCTCTCCCGCCCCATATTACTCACTCATATTGGTCTTTTGAATCATATGTTTCAAGCTGAAGCGAATAAAATAATACATTATTAGTGAATAGAATAAACTCGAAACTTGTTCCGTACGTTGTGTTTCTTCTCTCGAATTGCGGCTGCAAATTTCATGCTTATCATGTTATTACATTTTTTGTTGCATTAAATACTATCTAGGTAACCTACTTGTTATATTTTTACAACTTATATGTTTATTTTTCGTTCACAAAATGTGAAAATCTACGCTGTTTGAAATTTGTCCCACCATACAACATGACCAAGACATTTTTCGAAGATAATGATGAGGAAAATGATTTTGAATTCAATTTCAACAACATTATACTGTCTGATATGAATATCGAGACACCAGTACTTATATATGGATACCTGGGACCCAGAAGATTTGATACCCCTATCGCGGAGTTGAAACCAGGGATAGAGAAAAAATGGTGTGGAGTGGATGGAAAAGATTTCAATAGAACCTCTGGAGTGGCTAAAGATGGATAATCTCTCTCGTCAGTTCATCACGGACAAATTATTGAATCACATAGTTTTCCAGATCAATCTATTTACTAAAAATTGGAAGATTCTGAAATTATTTTATATTTTTTCGTATCTTTTGAGACATTTTGAGTTAGTTTGTTAATGAATCTCTTGAAAATGTGAAGAAAAATGAAGCTGTACATCTAGGGGGTGTTATATTTCGAAATTCCTGTACCTGAAAGAGTTAAGTTGTTAATACACTCACCGGCAAAAAAAACGGCTCCCAAAACATTTGTCAAAATTTTTCACGTTGTATATATGTTTTAATCCTTGTCCGTTTTTTGTGAAATTTCGATCAAATCATAGATGCATGTTCCAGAATGATAGCCTAGTTAAAAGTTTTCGTGAAAAGCTGATGACTTGTTCATTATACAGGGAAAAACCAACGCTACTTCTTCACCGTTGACTTCTGGGGCAATATCGAGTGGTTGTAGTTGGCTATGGATTGTAATGTGATTCCTTCTTGACACAATACTTTTTTATTCACGTCAATATACGGTTGTTTCAAAAAAGTATAGCATTTTTGAATTATTATCAACTATAATCAGAACCTACATAGACACTTATTGATTACCAACTCTCGTAACAACTCAAAGAATTGATATCCCTTATTTCTACCTCATTTTTTAGCGCTTACCTCAATAACAAGAAGCAGACTGTAGTCAATAACTAATACTCGAACTAATATTATTATGCTCTATAGGTTCTGAATTATTGTTAATAAAAATTAAAAAATGCCATAAACTTGTATCTTTTCTTAAAAAGAAGATATCGCCCTGAATCTAGGCCATATTATGTTAAGAAGGGACGAAAAAGGATCATACTCCAATGCAAGAAATGTTGAGCAGAAGGTTGGAGAATGCTTCTTAATAAAAGTTTTAAAAAATCCACACTTTCTTAAAATACTTGTATCTTCTCTTAAAAAGTGGTTATTGACGTGAATCAAAAGCCATTGTGTTAAGAAAGGATCACACAAATTATATTCAAAATATATTGAATCTAAGTTAAACCACTCACCTTATTCGCCACGACAGGGCCTGGAAAGAGGAACTTTTGTTTTCACCTGTATAATGATCAAGCCATCAGCTTTTTTTGGGAACTTGAATATACGATTTAGTCGAAATTTCACGAAAATAGACCGGACAAGAATTGAAAATATACAGGGCGATCGCAATTTTCCAACGTTATTTGCTGACCGGTTTTTTCCGGTGAGTGTATTTTACGACTGTCAAATTACTTTTTTCTAAAAAACTGTGAGGGTCTGATAATTTTTAGAATTCTCTGCAGAAAAATTTGTGGACGAACTGCTTACTGAAGGTGAAAAAGCGACATGTGACGAAACCTCGGAGTCTTTCAATGAACATTGCGTTATCCCGACATTTTATGATGAGATCTTATGCAAAAAGTAAGTCAAATTCCTCCTCAAACCGTATTGTTGCAATAACTATCAATACACAGGGTGACTCAGAATTGCTGGAACACAAAGCTACTACGTGTCAGAGGTCAAAATAAGTTGATTGGACCCAATATATTTATATACCGAAATGTACCATCTGTACATGAGAAGAGTTCAAAGTTTTCATAAAAAAATACATGCTCGCTGTTCAGAAAACGAAATCGAGGTAATGTAATTGCAAAAAAAACGAGATGGTGAAACAAATTCAATGAAATTTGACAAAAGTGCGTTTTAGAGGATTACTCTCCTTTCTGTGATCAGAGAAACACAAAAGAATTTGTTGAAGAATTGAAACTACCCTCCCCACCTGAATATATTTTCCAGATCATTCTTAAGGGTGGTAATAGGGTTCTCAAATTGTTTAACGAGAAGACAGATTCATTATTTCAGTTTCGTTCGAATGTCAATTGTCGCCTATATATCTCGGAAACGGTTACAGGTATCGAAATGCAGTTTTCACCAATCGACGATTCACAAAAATCGAGCTCTAGACTCATGGGTCAGTTTTTCTCTAGCTGTTCTGGAAATAGAAGAAACTACCAAAATCAAGCAATTCCGGCGTTCCACAAGGATCAATTTTGGCACCGACATTATTCCTGCTTCATATCAATGATCTGTTGGGAGTAACAACTTGCTCCATCCACAGCTTTGCAAATGATAGTACCCTCCATACTGCGTTCTCTTCCAGAATTCCCATTTCTTCCCAGGAAACTAAGAACTCACGGCGCAGGCAGGTCAATGCTGTCAATGAGGACCTTGCTGAAATCACAGCCTGGGGAACAAACAACCTAGTTGAATTCAACGCCACCAAAACTCAAGCCTGCATTTTCTCTAGAAAGGCGGAACTCAGTATGCCCGATATTGTAATGTCTGGCTCCACCATCCCCACCAAGCCCACCATATCTATGCTCGGTATTTCCATCAGCAACACTCTTTCATGGGATAATCATGTCAGATCCATCGCAAAAGATGCTTCACAAAAACTCGGATTCTTGTTCCGTGCGAAAAGCTACTTTATACCTCAACAGCTTCTCATGATCTACAAAGCGCAGATACGGCCTGTTCTAGAATACTGTTCCCACATATGGGGTTCAGCACCAAAACATACGCTGATGCTCTTAGATTCCATCCAGAGAAGAGCCATTCGCCTGGTGGGTGACGCCACACTCACTCACTCTTTGACATCATTGGAACACCGTAGAAAGGTCGGCGACCTTTCACTTTTCTATCGATACTCCTTCATCCATAGAACGGCTAGGCTCTGGAATTCATTGCCTGTGGAAGTATTCCCAACAACATATAATCTCCAAAAGTTCAAAAAAAATTCCAATACCTACCTCCTGTCCCTATCCTCCCTAGGAACGCACGATGTTCTTTGGACATTATAGGGATTCCCTTTCGTGCGCTCCAAGCGATAAAAAAAAATTCTGGGACACCCTGTACTTATACATTATACAACACCTATGTTTCAGGGGTCAAAACTGTTTTCACCAAAATAGATTCAGCTTTTGCCTCACATCCCTATTAGGCTTGACAGCTTTAGGTACCAGACCAGCGCTGAAGATATTGATACTGACGAAACAACAATGTACGCCGATAAAAGCGTACAGAAGATATTTGGCAACAATCTTATACATGCTGGAGTTATATGAATATGATTTCAAACCTGGTTCCAAGTAAGAAGATAAATATTTTCAGATTCAATAAGTTTGCTCATGTTTCAAATATTCTATGTAAAAGGTTTAGATTAGTTCTGGCAGAACACAGGGTTGGCATGCGCGTATAGGTATCCCAGCGAGCACAAACATCCCTGGGATGTTTTGAGATGTTTTGAAAATGTTGGCATGAAGATGTTATTTTGAGACGTAATATGCACTGACCAAAGAGGTCTTTGAAGGATATTGAAGTATTGTTTTTGTTCTTCTGTGGCATTTCTTTGTTTGCCTACTGAGAGGTATCCCTGGGATGTTTTGGGATGTTTTAGAAATGTAGGCATGAGGATGTTTTTTTGAAGCGTAATATGCACTTCCCAAAGAGGTCTTAGAAGGATATTGAAAGTATTGTTTTTGTTCTTTTGTGCCTTTCTTTGTTTACCCCATCACAACGTATCATGCTTACGTCACAATACGATGAATTCTGATTTGTTTTCGATTTTGTTCGCAATTGGCATTCGCGTTTGCAGCGTGTCACGCTTACATCACGCTGCTAACGAACAGAAAGGAATTTGGTGAAGTTTATTGTGTTAGAAGACTTATTTAGTTTGTGATAATGACCGTCAGATGCAAGATGTGTTGTTCGATGCCTCAGTGTAATCAATATATAAAAGTACGAATTTATCAATACACAGCTTCTCTGCAGTTGCAAAATTATGCATTGTGGAGAACATTTCAAAAATTGGGAAACCGTTTTCCAATTATATGTCTGTGTGTAGTAAGCACTACTCAGAAACCGATTAAAAAGGTAATTTCATATCAAGAAGATATTTTTATGTTCAATCTATTTTTAATGCATTTTTTCATTCAAGGGAAATGGAATCGTAATGCAAAAGTTCATTTTGACAAAAGGCTTCAGAAAAGTACCTCGAAAATGTTTTTTTTACAGCGATTTAATGTGCGCAAGACGCGTTGAAAATGCTCTGTTGTGTCCATGAAAAGGCTTTAAAAAGAACTAGGGAGAAGGTAGTTTTGTGACATATCAAGGACATCGCGATAATTGCCGCCTGCGGCGGACATTGGCTGTTCTATAATAGTTCTATTCATGTGTGAACAGAACATCGCAGTGGAGGTTCAATGTCTCGAAATCTCGTACTTTTAACATCTCTGAGATGTTTTTGTGCCCGCTGTGATGTTTTTTTTCTCGGGGGGGGGGGTAATCAGTAGCGGAAATTAATTTATAATTTGGGGCGTTTCAGTGTATAATAAATCAACACAAAATGGTGGTATATTAGCTTCAACTTTTATTAAAGCTGTTTCTATATCTTAGAATATTCAAAATAACCAAAATAACAATTATCAGTCATTCAAATGAACAAATGAAGATAAATATTCTCGATGAAAACGTATTTTATATGCGTAGGTATTATATGAACTAGAAAAAAAAAGAAATAATGTTTCAATTTCACCATTAGATAATATAAAGTAGGTAACTTATCATTCGAAACTCTTGATTGGATCTAATTAACAAAATAGGTATATATCAGGTACCCCCGTGACTAGATTATAAAAAAAGTCTTTTACATTGCTTTGAAAACCTCGAGGAAAACCTATCGATAGCAGCATCTATATCTATTTCAATATATCTATGGATATTTAATATAAAGTTAATCCGACTAGCCTGACCCATTCTACACCTCAACCATGATTTCAGTGTCTTACATGAGTGTATAGAAAATGATCTTTCAGCCACACTCACCGGCATAACAGATTTTATCTGCAGGAGTGTATAAATAGTGGGAAATATTTCGATACTGCAATGCTGTAAAGTATCTGAGGCTGTTTCTTTGGGTAAATTATTATAGGTTTATTTTTGGTTTCTTCCCATTCATTTTTCCAAAGATCTATTTCTGATTGCAACAAATCTGACTAAAATGTTTGGGAGAGAATTCATTTCTAAATTCACTAACATATTCAGAAACTTGTTTTACTAGAATATTTGAATCACTGGTATGAAACATAATTAGGCATCAACCTGTTGATATAAAACATTTTGAATTCATTATTGATCATTTTTTCTAAGTATTTTACTGTTTTACTATTTTTGTGCTCTCTACGTTGGTGATGTGTGGAATCACCTAATTTCTGACTAAACCAGATGTAATTTTTTTTCTATCAAGACGTTTATAATGTTTTTCACAGTCGCCAATGTTGATTTTTGATAGCTATCATATTGTTGTGAATGTGGCGCAGTCACCAGTTTTTTAAATGGATCAATTTTATTCAAAATCGAGATTTTTCGAATTTAAATTTTTTTGTGTCGAATCTATTCATTATTGGTCAAAACAGCTCACATGTTCCTATCTTGATTGTTGATTTACTATCTACTGACATTTAATTGGAACAGATACAGGGTGATCAGAATTCTGGATAGTAAATCAAAAGCTAAGATAGGGATGTGAGCCGTTTTGACCATTACTTTACACCTAAACAGCTTCTCATGATCTACAAAGCACAGATACGATCAGTTTTAGAATACTGTACTCATGTATGGGGTTCAGCATTCACCTGGTGAGTGATGCTACATTCACTAACTTATTGACCTCATTAAAACATCGTAGACAAGTCGGCGCCCTTTCACTTTTCTATAGATGCTTCCAGGGGAAATGTTCCTCAGAAATCTCTGCTAAAATGCCATCACTAGCAACACCAAGCAGACAAACTCGACAGGCTCAGTCAGCACATTCTTTCGTCGTTAACCTCGAAATATGTCGAACAACACTCTACCAGAACGCGTTCCTCTATATATAGAAGGGTGAATCTTTGGAATTCATTGCTTCATTGCCAATCGAAGTAATCCCAAGAACTCATACTCAATCTCCAAGAGTTCAAAAAACTTTCAACACTTACCCCCTCTCCCTATCCTCCCTAGGTACGCACCATGTTCCACGAACATTATAGGAATTTCCTTGCGTACGCTCCAAGATATAAAACAAAATAATTTCGACACAAAAGTAAAGTTGGAAAATCTCGATTTTGATAACAATACTACACATCACTGGTTCACCCCCAACCAAACCGATTATTTTACGCCTCGACACGTGTTGCGCTAACTATGTTAGCATCTTCAGGGGGAGATTGAAACTGCTTTAATCTCTTTTATATATCTATGTGATCATTTCCGCTTGACCCCAAGTCCAAATGTGACACATAGATGAAATCAGATCTTCAGCAAGAATCTGAAAGAGTGATCCATTTAAAAAAAACTGCTGACTGCGCCATAAGTTTTGATATAAAAAAGAATGCCTTTCGTTTTTAGTCAGAAATGAGGTGTTTCCACAAATATATATATGCCCAACCCTGTATATGATGCCTACCTCAGAAATGAGCTGAAATGCCAAAGTTCAAACCTACAAGCACAAGGAATTTCATCTGCGTGTAATTTTCATCAGATCTTGGAGTTCATTGGAGAAGGTTCGAAAAATGCATAACTTTGCCAGTAATCTGGGCCACCGAAAACTGGATTACAGAATCAACCAATTGGAAATGGCTCTCACCCAGTTTGGATTCATAGGATTTGCGCTCGTCAGAGGAAGATTCATCGGTATACATGAAGTATCAGAAGAAGAACTGAAGGGCTTCATACACTTGTGGAGAGCGGTGGGATATGTCCTCGGAATAGAAGATAGGTCAGAGAGTTCCAAAATTATCGAGTGCTTTTTGAAGAAAAAAAAATCTTCACAAATTTGGCAACAGAATGAGAAGAAATTAAATAGGAAATAGGGCAATACCACCACTGAAAATATCCACGAAATCATTTATTCACCTAATTTCTGACTCACCAAGAAGTGATTCATTGTTTTTTATCAGAAATTTCATAATTTTTCTGTTCTACTCAGTCGCCAATATTGATTTTTGGTAGCTATCGAACTTGATTCTTGAGAGTTAATTAAAATTCAAATACATCAGCGTTCATTAAATATTCAACCTACTTTGAAGTGATTTGTAGGGAATAAATCCTGCTTTTAAGATGTTTCGAATAGATTTGGCATAGAAAAAACACATTTTGCATAGGCAATATCTCAGATAATCCTAATTTTCATCGAATAATCTTAACAGTGTTAAGCACTCAAAATTACCCTAACCTGACTACAAAACAATAACATTCGAATCTGAATAAGCGAAAAAGTTTAGGTAGACACTCACTCAATAATTGTGTTATTTGAAGTTGAAGTGTTACATTTAGTTTACGTTTTTATAACGTTTTCATAGGTTCAACATATGCAGAGAATCAGTGAAGGAAACTAAAGAAATATGTGAAGAATTAATGAGAAGAGTATTTATTCCCGGATTGCAACAACCAGGTGACGATTTCTACAATGTTGCAAAGGTTGTTGTAGAAGGATTCCGGGGAATGATTCCTGGACTCCACCTGGACAATATGCTTCACTACACTCATATGATCATGGAGTCAAACGAGGATGTAGCCAATTGTGCCAAGGATCATTTGTCACCGTTGGACACAATTGAACAATTGAAATTGAAAATTTTAGTAAACGTTATGTGGGCAATGCAATATCGTATTTTCAGATTTATCATGAACAATTTCCTTCTTTTGATCATTTGGTTGTGGATAAACTTTCCTATTGTGGCATACTGGAAATTTGGTATAACTCATCATTCTCACGTGAGAATTTGAAACATGTGTTTTTGCGACTGAAGCAGTTGTTGCCACGGCAGTTAACAATTATTGTACATTAACAATTATGTTTTATTTGTGTCCACATATTCGTTGAGTGCCCCAGAGATGTGACTATAATGTCTGAATGCGCCTTGAGTATAATATTTTTCTTTCGGTTAACGATTATTATTATACATTATGTGTTGAATCTTCTACAATTTGTTCTCAATAAAATTATGAATTATCACAAAATATTTTAACTCACATATATATGTCCCTATCTCAACTGTTGATCACAAAATATTTTAACTTTTTGGTGACACTGAACATATACCTACAGTGTTTCAACAATAGGTGTACTGTTGTTGTCCTATTCATAATTGTACAATTCATGTCCAATAGTTATACAATTTATGTATAGTAGCTATGCAGTAGATGTACAGGATCAGCATCCAATATGGATATCCAAACTTGTGGCATCTGGATTTACAATGGATGTGTATTGGATAGAAGCTGGACATTTTGAACCATCCAATGTATATCCAGCATGTCCATGTACGTCTATCCAATTTTCATCCATTGGAGAGCCTTTGTGTTATTAGATTATTATAATTATTATCATTATTCAAAATGTTATTATTTCATCCTCGGAATCTATAATTTTCAAATATCGTGCCACCCAGTATATGAGTTTCATGCGCGGAACCACAAATGCGGTACTCCGGTACTAACCTGAAACTGGGTTTGTTGCTGGCTTACGACACCGAACAAGTTTATGTTCGGTGCTTACGGTTTAGCACTGTGGTTTAGCATTGGCGCCAATTCAAATTGACCAATAAAAATAACATCACACGAAAGCAGATTCGCTTGTTGTTTATTGCTGGGCGAAATCGACCAATATTAACATGTACGTATTCAAAACGCCCCGATAACAGGCATAGGCAAGCGTTTAGACCAATCACAACGTTGAGTTTCACGCGTGCGTGTTTCGGCTTAAGTTTTTTAATTTGAAATAAACATTAGTTTGAAATGGTTTGAATTTTGAATTATTCTGGACATTTGGAGTCATCATAAACTACTCTCGGAGTTCTGGACCACAAGTGATGGCAGATTTTCATTACGATAGGAGTATTGATTTCGATCAACTCATTGTCAATAAATCGGAAATATAGAGGTAAAATACACACGCACTTCACCCAATATACAATCACAATAATGATATCTGTGTCAATATGTATAGAACTTACTTCCTCTTTGGACCACGAAAATAAAGGAAATGGTAAAACTGCATTTATCATGCGATGGGTTTTTTCTCAAAAATTTTTTTTGTACCTACGTATTTTTGTCTGAAAACACGAATTTGATAATGAAAATGTGTTTGTGTTTTTGTAATGATTTTCTTGTAAGTTTTCAAAATTCATATTTCAATTCCACAACTACCTCAATCAACACCTCATTCTTTATTGATGCAATTGGGAGTTTCACTTTATAATCTTCATTAATTCCTTTTGAAATAGGTACAATAGTATGACCTACCTCTTACCTAGCAGGTAGATATACCTACTTTTCCTTATTGTTAATTTGTTTCTAGGTGAATGAAAGTCCTGGATTTCAAATTCATTCATAATGGTTGATTTTTATGACGGTATCTTGTGAAATAATTCGGGGAAAAAAGTATACAACACTGAGGGAAAAAGTATACTGGTAGATCAAAAGTGGAATTTTCATCATGGTCATAGATAAATCATTTGTTCGGAAATTGATCGGTTATTAGCAGCATGATTCAGCCTATTAGTCATTCATTCGATACCAGGTGGTGAATAATCAAGGCAGTCTCATTTGGCCTAACCATGGGTAGGCCAAATGAGACAATAAAAACGAAACGATGATCTCCCATGGAAATAAATCATCCCCTTTATATGCATCACTTTGAAGAAATATAATCTGCAGGTGAAAAAATCCCACAGACTAAAATATATGAAGGGGTATGGAAGAAAAACATATCATATTTATATTTTACAGATGTTTTGAGGTTTGTTTACTAAATTGTCTATGAATTGGAATAAAGTTCACATTTTTACTCCTTTTGTTTTACTGTTTTGAATGCCCATGCACTTTATGTGTTTAGTGGTATTTCCACTGATTTTTCAATTTCAATTGAAATTCCGTGAATATATCCTGAATATCTTGGTGTTGCATTTGAAATTGATACAAGTACTGGTGAAACGTATCTGGCATATGCTCCATGGAAAGAGCTGTGTAGAGACATATTCGTCACTGTTATCTCACAGGAGCATATCTTCTTCAAGTCTGATGTTGCATCACTGATATAAGTCTGTGATTTCATCTGAGGCGGACATTCATCTTTGCTATATCTCTGATGGGAACATCTCTGTGATAAAACACGGCACATTTGAAATGCAGCAGTGATAAAGTTGCTGTATGTTTTGGTCAACTGGGTCTATACCCTGATGTATTTTATCGCATTTTTAGATTTCGCCTAAAGAGCTGATTTCATCAATATATCACACTTGGGGTCTATCAAATATGATTAGGTACAGAGATATGAGGTGTTGAAATTCGAGATTTTTCATGCAACTTTATAGGATTTCTTGTGTGGAAACTATTCATTATCGGTCAAAACGGCTCACATATATATGTCCCTATCTCAACTGTTGATTCACTATTTACTGATATTTAATTGGAACAGACACAAGAGGGTGTGGTTCAAGATTCAGAATTCTGATCATCCTCTGTATATCTGTTCCGATTAAATATCAGTTAATAGTAAATCAAAATTTGAGATTACAGGGTATCCCTTTTCGTGGGAACCAGAACCTAAAAAAAAAAGTTTCGACAGAAACAAAACCTAAAGTTGAAGAATAATCTCGATTTTGAACACCCTATATCTCTGTAATCATTTTCGATAGACCCCAAGTGTGATGCATCGATGAAATCAGCTCTCCAGGGAGAATAAAAATACAGTGTATTTTTCTATTTGGAATAACAAAGTTGTTGCTACTTTTTGATAGAAGCGGCAACAATGCATTGCTGAAAATATTTTGGCATGCTCCATGGAAAGAGCTGTGTAGAGACATATTCGTCACTGTGATCTCACGCTTGTTCAAGTCTGATGTTGCATCACTGATAATAAGTCTGTGATTTCATCTGAGGCGGACATTCATCTTTGCTATATATCTCTGATGGGAACATCTCTGTGATAAAACACGGCACATTTGAAATGCAGCAGTGATAAAGTTGCTGCATGTTTTGGTCAACTGGGTTTATACCCTGATGTATTTTATCGCATTTTTAGATTTCGCCTAAAGAGCTGATTTCATCAATATATCACACTTGGGGTCTATCAAATATGATTAGGTACAGAGATATGGGGTGTTGAAATTCGAGATTTTTCAACTTTATAGGATTTTTTGTGTCGAAACTATTCATTATCGGTCAAAACGGCTCACATATATATGTCCCTATCTCAACTTTTGATTCACTATTTACTGATATTTAATCGGAACAGATACAAGAGGGTGTGGTTCAAGATTCAGAATTCTGATCATCCTCTGTATATCTGTTCCGATTAAATATCAGTTAATAGTAAATCAAAAGTTGAGATTACAGGGTATCCCTTTTCGTGGGAACCAGAACCTAAAAAAAAAAGTTTCGACAGAAACAAAACCTAAAGTTGAAGAATAATCTCGATTTTGAACACCCTATATCTCTGTAATCATTTTCGATAGACCCCAAGTGTGATGCGTCGATGAAATCAGCTCTTCAGGGAGAATAAAAATACAGTGTATTTTTCTATTTGGAATAACAAAGTTGTTGATACATTTTGATAGAATATATTCAGGAATTTCTCCCGAATGATAGTAAATCAGACATAATAATCGTTAAAGTAAAACTTGGAAACTCCATGGCCAATATATAGCAAAAATTCGTCATAGTCTGATGTTTTAGTATTTTATAGGATTTCTGGAAATCCTAGGTATAAAGTTTTATGAGTAATTTTGAATGGAAACAACTAACGGATTCAACCTCGGAATCATCTAAATAATAAAATACATGTATCTCCAAAATCATAACCCCTAAAGAAATTATGAGTACGCCGCTGATGAATTCTTCGCAAAATTCTCTGCTAGACGTAGTATTATTCGCTGTAATTCAGCAGAACCTTATTATTTCTAATAACTTCGTAGAGAAGCCTGGCAGTCTAAACCAAAATGTACATATTTAAATCTGAAACACCCTCTGTATGTCTCCTTGTGCATTTTACACTCTTCGAGACATTTTCTAGAGTTTTGCAGTACCTACTTCTGACTGTGAAATTCGTTCAAATTACTAGAGATTTTCGTGAAAATTATATTTTTTGCCTGTGTTTAATTTTTTCAAATCGTTAGACTTTCGAAAATAATAGTGCCAGTATACCCGTGTTCAATTCTTCATCTTATATCTTGTATACTATATATCTGTTCCCCCTGTATAATTTCATTATCGTCATTAGTCATAGATAACTCATTTGTTCGGAGATTAATCGGTTAGCAGCATATGATTCAACCTATTGGTCATTCATTCGAGACCAAGTGGTGAATGAGCAAGACAGTCTTATATTAGGTGTCTTCACGTAAAGTCGAATTTTGTGTTTACGCGAAAGGAATTATTTATCGTTCCGTTCCAAACGTAGTGTTCATGTGCAAGTGTAGTGTTTTTGTATCCCTCATTCAATTCAGTGATCACATTACATTATCGCGATCGTGTGCTGTTCTGGTGTTTCGTGTTGTTTCATCAAAGCTTCGCATTTTTCACGTAGGTGAGTGAATAGAGTTTCTGTTTTTCCTCATATTTCCCTGTTTATATTTAACTTAAGGCGTTTTCGGAAACCTACTCGGGTTGACTCGATCCCTAACCTGCACGTTCGTTTACCTAACTCGAGTAACATACCCATGTTCGGAAACTTCGGTGTTACTTACTCGATCTCTAACTCGGGCTCATGTTTCGCAACCCTGCTCCAAAGCAGGGTCAGCCAGAGTTACTACCTCAGATCATACACTTAGTACCACAGAACTACTCACGATTCATGTATTTCTAAGGTCACTTCAGATATTATTTGATTTCATCAATTGAATAAGAAGTGAATTATGTTGAATAGCATTAGTTTGATGATGAAAATACACCAACATCATGAGCAGAAGCAATATTCATCATTTCTAGAACAATAACAACGTGTATCTTTTAAGAGTTAAGTGGTATGTTATTAAAGATATGGAGAAATATTGATATCGTATTGCAAACTGAAAAAATTGCATACAGCTGTAAGAAATCAAGAAGTTCTATTCGAAGAGGTATGAAGCTAACTCAATAAAATAGTAACCTGATAAGTTCGTAAACTATAGTATTAGGATAAGTGATCCGACTGATCCATCACGTGACCCGTTCAGATCGAGTCAACAACCCAGAGTAAGTTTCCGAAAACGCCTTTTATTACCTGCTTATATGTTTTCAAAATAAGAATCGTCTGTTTGTTGAATACTTTCAAGATAATAATTCGAAACGAGCAAACCAGAAGAAAATAAGAT